AATTAGGAGCTGCTGAGAAACAGCTGATGAGGACATCTCTGAGAATGCCTGGGAAAAAGAGCACTGCAGCTCATATCCACATAAATGAGGTACACTTGTGATCAGAGGCTGAAGTCTAGATACAGGGTCTCTTCTTGCATCAATCAGTGCTCCTCAACTCATAACACCCATCCTTGCTCCTGAACCCCAGTACCTCCTTGTCTGCTGAAGTACTGTTACCTTTCTGGTTATAGTAGTACCTAAACATGTTCTTCCCAGGTGGGGCCCAGAGATGAGAGGCAGCTGGACCCAGATGTCAGCAGAGCATTAATGTTGTCCTGGTATAAAGATTTTCAAGTTTGACTCTAAGTGCTGTCTGCTGTTTTGTTTGGGGGCTGGTCAGTAAAAGACCTGGTGACCTCATGTGTACTCTTGACCTGATATGACATTCTAGGGAGAAGGATGAAGCCCCAGCACTCTTCCCACTAAATCTAGAGAAAATAATGTAGTCAACCAATATGGTAAAAGGCAATATGAACACAGGCAAAGTAGTAGTTAGAATATGATCTCTGGGCAGTAGTTTCAGAGTGAAATTCTAAACTGTGCAGAGTCTAGAAGTAGTAGGTTGGCATACATGAGTATTTGAAGTTAGTACTTCCAGACAGAATTACTACTTTCAGGTGGTGTCCTATGGCTGTGGTAAAGTCTGGAGCCATTTTTAGCTCCTCAAAGCAGAACTTGTACCATGGTGTCAGTATAATTGAACCCAGGAGATCCAAGGGTCAGTTTGTTGCAGTGATAACATGTGGGTGGGTGGGTCCATGGAATGATAAAGCTGAGCTGAGAACTGGGTGACTGTACTCTGGGGTTTTGTACTTGATACCTGCTCTGGCCTTGTCCCAAGGGCTGAATTCCAGTCAGGGGTTTGAACACATTAGGGGTCTTCTTGGAGCAACACACTGGGTTTTGCTTTCAGTAAAAACAGATCCTATTCATGCTCTTGACAGAGAAGAAAAGCATAGTTCTGTGGGGACAGACAGGAGAGTTGCTGCAAAAGTGCACTCCTGATCCCAGATAAGCACTAGAGCAGATGTGTCTGTGCCTCTGGTGCCCCTCTGTAAAAGGAAGAGGAGGTCTTTTCTGCTTTCTGGCAATTAAAATAGGATAAGGCATTCTTAAGGAAGAAGGGAAATAAGAGGAATAAAGTGAGGGATTTACATTTATTTTTCTCAGTGGGAAGAAAACTGTTTTTCTTCTAGACAACAACCCAAAGAAAATATCTGTACCCGTCTATCCTTATGATAGATGATCCTTCTATTTTCATTATACTTTTATGAGGTGAGCCTATTAAAATGTGAAAATAAAGCCAAGCAAATCCACCATATCAAATAAAATGCACCAATGCTTTTCTACTATCAAAACAGAAAAGTTTCTTTCTCTATGAGGCTACCTTGCTTTTCAAATTAAATGTCAAGTATCATGTCTCCCCCAGAGATCTGAGCTACAGAGCAAAGTTCAGATTCGTCAACTACAGATTTGTATTTACCTTAATGCTTATTACATATCAAATTACTGTGCTGTGACATGGATAAATATTGGATTTTAAAGTTATTCCATTCAGAGTTTTACTGGAAGAAATTTGACTGCTTTAGTGCAGCTATTTGGCAGGCCAAAAAGGTAATGTATTTTAAGGGAACATTAAATTAAAAATATGGCTGTCCTCAAAGGAAAATATTTCTCTTGCCTACTTAATCAACACCTTTATTGTTGAGGTGTTGCATGTAGGATCCCATGATCCAAACTGCAGTTCCACTCACAGCGCCATTACAAGGTAAATAGGTGCTGGATTCCTTGTTTTACCAAAGGAGGAACTGCAGCACAAAGGATGGGTCTTTGCAGCAACATCCTGATGCCCCTCTCAGAAAGAGGAGACTGCTCTGCTTGTGCCCAGTATGATGAGGATGTCTGATCCCCTGTGTTTGTCTCGACTTTCAAAGCGCAGACGTCAATGGCAAAGAGCCATTTGGCTCAGAGCAAGTTGAGTGTCCCACACACTGAGGAGGGGACGGCCATGGTCCAGAGCTAGCCAGTATGGGGTGGAGGGGTCCCCATTAGGGTGTGGAATCATGAACTGTGGGTGGACATCATTATCTAGAGCCCACAATCTTTGCAGCCTCTTCTCTTGAGAAAACTGTACTGTTGTATCTCTGCTGCTAATTCACAAATTACTGTTTAATGATTAGGCAACCTTAGCTTGTTTGGCTTTGCTAGAGTTCCTTCTCCATTCCTAGACTTGTCCTACTAAGTGTTGGCCTGTGGATTAGATTTTATGCTAAAATCAGCGTGGTTTTTTTTTTTTTTATGGTGGGAGTGCAATGTATTAAAAATGGCTTTTGCTATTTTCCCAAATTTCTTCTAGTCCACAGCCTGCTTTGATTAAGCTCCAGGAAGCTAAAGTAGATGTGAGTACAGAATGAGGCAGTGTTATTTGTCAAAGGTCATTTGGAACTGTGAGTAAATGTGAGGAAAGTGGTGTTTGCCTGCTGCTCAGACTAACAAATACTGATCAGCTGTTTCAGGCAGCCTGGGTCATTTACACTGATACAGCCTCTTTCAGGGTGAGGATGTCATAGGACTTAAACTGGCCTTGGTTGATTAACTTCTGATTAATATAAAACCACCTCTAAATTTGCATCTGAAAAAGACTGCTTTAATCCTGTTACCTAATATTAAATTTTAAAACTTCATGTCAGGGGGTCATGGTTAGTTGGTAATATAGCCTTGGATAAAAATAGTGTGACATTATTCCAACAATATTAATCTTAATGAGATGTGCAATCTTACCATGTGTGTATCAAGGACACTGTACTCATACGTTAACTTTATTGTGCCAGTTAATGCAATTAGTGTAGTGTTGCTAATGTAGTTAAAAGTTTTATCACTAATCATATAAGCTCCAATAGGATAAATATAAAGGGTTATTAATGCTGTAATTTATTATTAACAAGTAGAGAAGCAGCAGAGCAATAAACTTTGCCTTCCTGCTGTACTGCCTTTATATGTCATCACATTTTGGTTTTCATAGCATGGCTGTCATTCCTTACACTGCTGGCTGCTGCTGGATGTTCTCTAATATTATTTAAAAAGGACTTGGCACCCATTTGAAGATCTCAGTGTCCCTCTGTCAGTTTTGTGGTGCATAATTTTTCTTTCACTTATTCTCTTTCCATTTGACAGCTTGCAGAAAGGCCTGACTCTTATCTGATCAGGATTCCTGTCTGTGAGGATGATCTTTAAATACCTTCAGTTCAAGGACACTGTAGAGTGTCTCTTTCAACTAATATAAGGTACCAAAATAGTGAAATTTAATGAGATAGAACACCAAATTGATTGTCTCAGAAAGAGTACCTGAGAGGGTAGTTAAGATGATGTGTCAATCACTTTATCTTAACAGCTTGTACCGTCATCATGTGACATTTCTACAGAATGGCATGAACCGCTTGGTTTCAAAGGACTCATATTTGCACCTTTGATTTAACTAGCAGACAAAAATCATTAAAGGGCAAGGACTGCTTTGCTTAGTGGAGAGGACACAGCTTGTGTGGTTTTAAGCAATTTAAACAATATTGACACCTTAGTTTAAGGACACCTTTTAGCTGTCTTCAGTTTTATTTTTCCATCACAAGTGTTAGAAGTTTGAGGACAGCCTGAACATGTTTTGATTCCACTGGGTCATTTGATGCCTGGGAGACAGAAAACTATTCACAGATATAGATATCAAGAGGCAATAGACTGAAGTCCACTCATGTTTCATGATTCAATGCAAGTTGTGATTCAGGTAAAAATCTGATTAGACAAGGTGTATCTTTAGATTTTTCATTGGACTCTTCTTCCAGAAGCAATGACATGGATTTCAGGAAGTGCAGTGCATATGTGAGGTGTGCAGGGCTATTGTCTTATTACAGACAATTTCTGCTTCAAACAAGGATGCTGGTAAGTAGTTCTTAGGAAGGAGTTTTAAGCCTTTGACTTTTTTTCACTCCTTAGCCATCCAGAATCCACATTGTGTATAAAATCTGCTGTATAAGCAGCATGTAGATTCTGCTTGTGGGGATGACAATCTGAAATAGAAGGGAAAGGGATTAGGAAGAGAGGATTTACTTTACACACTGCTGCATTGGGTATTATACTGTAGATTAAGAAGAAACTCCCAACATTTAGGGGCAGCATGCAAAGAGATGTAACTGAACACAAAAACACCTGCACTAGGAGTATGTCTGGAAGCAGTGGAAAGCAGAATAAAATTAGCAAACTGTGTAAAACTGGAATCAGAGTAAGACTTTAAGAGTGAAGAAGTTCTTGATTGACATGTAAGTTAGGGAAGGACCCTTCTGGTTGACTTTAAGGCAGACTTTGTGGTATTTTGTGAAACAGCTCATATTATCTGGTTTCTTGGACTTGGTAAGCCAGTTGGTCTTCAGTCCTATCTTTTTGATAGCTTTGAATAATAAGTTAATAAGAGCAATGCCTAGCAGAGTTTTTGGGATTGGGACAAAGGTGCTGAATCTTACACAGAGCCATACACAATCTGTTCTTAGGAGGATACTAATTTTAGAATATGCTAGTTATTCTGTATTGGGATTTTGCTGAAAATTTGTCAAAGATCAGTTTAAGCACTTTCTATGCTATCTAAAAATGGCAGAAGTATAGGACTGAATTATTGGAGAGCCCTCCATTCAGGAGGATCCCAAAACATCTATATGCTGGCTTGCCTAATGAGAATCACAGGCTTGTCAGCCCTTCCAGTGAAATAGAGCTGTCAGATTCTCAGATGTAACCAAAGAGAGAGGAAGAGAGAACAAGAGCTACCCAATGACATTTAAAATTCCTTTCAAGTATGCATACGTAGTAAAATGCCAGCAATGGGGTTAGACAAGTTCATAACAAGCCTCACAAATGGGTTACTCTAAATGAGAATCTAGAGGTCTCAATAATAAAATCCACACACCTGCTTCCTCAAAATTGGACATTTTAATTGAATTTTCTGCTCTTGTTTGTTCTTCTTTGAATCTCTTTCTTCATCTTTCAGTTGTAGTTGTGCTCCCAATCTCAATCTGAGCCATCTGTTCCACTTCTAATATTAACATCTTCTATCATGTAATGTACTATACCCTGAGAAAAAGAGAAGAAAGATGATGACTTTCTCCTGGGAGGAAACCTTATATTTCACAAAAGGTTCAGCTGTCACTTTAAAACACCTTCCCACACACAAATATGCACCTGCCACATTAGAATATTATTAATAATGCAGCCTTCTTGTGTTTGACAAGCTAAACAAAATTACCCAAAAAATGTGGAAAGGTCTAGGAAAGGTGAGAGCAAGTCAATGTTTCTTTTCAAAATGATAACACCCAAGCTGATCCACAGTAGAAAGTAATTACATTTTAAATGAACTGTTCTAACTTAACTCCTTGTATACATTGCAAATTTCTATCCTTTCCAATTATACAGGTATCTGTTTAAGCTTGATGAAATTTGCAGAGTTGTGTTGACTCTTCTTAGTCTCAGTCTAGAACTACAAATCCCTGTTCCTTCCATTGTGGGTTGTCATGGTCCTTCACTAGCTGATAGTCTCTATCCAACCCCCACCACTCATTTGAATCCCAAATTCGTGGGAGATTTGTGTGTCGGAGGAAGAGAGGACAGTGGAGCTGCTCAGTTTTGCCTGTAACTGCTGTTTCTATCTGAGCTAGAAAGTCAGCACACTTGTGAAAAAAGAGTGGTAGTGCAAAGAAAGGAATAAACTTCAGGTTTAGGGTTGATCCTAATAAATTAAGGAAGGGAGTTGTGGGAAAGTGTCTGATGAAAACATGAAAAGTGGTCTGGGAGATTTAGGGTGGCATGACAAAAGAGAAACTAGAAAGAAATCAGGTAGTATCAGGAAGGAGTTCAGAAAGATGAGGTGAGGATCAGGTTTGTTTGGAAGAATCAGGAAGCCTGTAAGGAAACACAAAGTGTTATCCTGGCTGGGAAAATTTAAGAAAGAATAATGAGATTAAAGGAAAAACAGATACTAGCAGTAAAGAGAAAATGTCAAAGCCTCACATTTGCTTTATTCCAAATGGATTGAAGCAAGCAAATGTGAAAGCCACTGTTCATCAGATTCAGATTGTTTTTCCCTTGTGGAGACATTTCATCATTGCACGGCCAGAACTGTATAATGAAAGTCTGGAAGTTTTGATGCATCTGATTCAAAATACTTCTCTTGGTTTTGTCTATCCCAATTAGGCTTTCTGCCTAACGTAGCTATTCTTAGTTTATGACACTCGGGGATACAGGTGTTTCTCTAATCCATCAAATATAATCCAGAGCATGAGATTGAGTCAGGCATTGGGTTTCCATTTACAAACTATCGGGATTTTAAGAGAGGCAGGACAACTGGGAGATGTCTTAAAGCACATTATTACTCTTCTTCTACATTCTCATGAAGGAGTGAGAACGTCTTCACCATGTTCACTAGATGTTTGTGGTCAGTGGTCACAAGACCACAGGTTACAAAGTCCTTTAAAGGTTAATTAGCCAATAAACTACTGCCACAAAAGAATGTTTCTATTTTCACACCAATAGTTAATTATTTTGTCTTATATCTTTGCTGCAGTGCAGATTTTCTTAACCAATCATATAATGACATACAAAACTATTTGCTACACTTAAAATCTTCATATTACCTTTATAACTACTTCTATATCTTAACTTTAAAACCTTAAAACTTTCCACTACCTAGCTTAATGTCTTTCTGTCTAAACTACAAACAACCTACATTCTTGTCCATGATCTCTAAATCCTTCTGGATTTAAAGGCAGAAGCCCTTTCCAAGGTCTCAGGTTGAACCCTGTATTCATTTCTGTGTTTGAGCCTGCCTGCACAAGATTTTGAGAATGCTTGGAATTCCCACAACAAACAAGGATTTTGAAATCCAGGTTTTGTGGAGACTAGGACCATAGAGGCACATAAAGGTTAATGCTTTGAGTGTAGCCCTTAAGAGCTATTCTGGACTAGTGCTTCATTGTGGGCTGTCTGGTTTCAGCTTAAAATAAGCTGCAGAAGCACACTCATGGCCAGCTTGTAACTTAAGTCATGAGCTGGGTTGCAGAGCTCCCTGCATATTCACTGCTAAGACATAGAAGGCTGTTCAGACATGCTGAATATTCCTCTGAAGTTCCTCTCTGTTGATTAAAGACCTTTAATGTGGGGTTCCTATAGTTAATAGTTATAGTTTAATGTGGAGTGCCAATAGTTAAATAGAATCTTAGCTGTAGGCTGGAATAATGCCTTTGGCACTGGGAAATGGCACACAGCAATTTGCTAACTTGAGTCCATCAAGGCAACAGGAAAGGCAAGTACAGAAAAATTGTGCTTCATTTTATTGGTCTGCTTCACTTCACAATGGCTTGTGTTTTAAGATGGCATAGATGTTTGAAATCAGGGTTTGGGTTTTGAAGGCACCAAGTGTTTTGGAAGGTGTTGCCTGAAACCTAAGCTGTATCCAGGTTTCAGCATCTTTTCACTGATCCTGCCTCACTTCTGGAGGAAAATACAATGCACTGCCTCAATGAATATTAGATTTAATATGTTTCAGTGTAAATACATGTTTTAAATTCTTCTCTGGGCTACAAAGTTACATTGACACGCTTTCAGTGGGAAAGTAGTTATTCCTCTTCTTATTGCATGTAACCCATGGCTTTGTCTACCATACAGAATCATCTAGAGCTGAGTAACTATTGATTTGACCAGCAGAACTGGGGCAATGGAATACACATGTGTTTCCTGGATCCTATAGTATTTCTAGCACCAAGATAAACGTTATCTATATAGTAAAAAGAAATATAATCATCTGCCAAATTTGCAAAAAGACATGGAGTGTATTTTCACAATCAATTCCTAACACCAGGAATATTTTAAATGTCTCCAGTGCTCTGGAAATCAGTGTTGCAATTAGCTAAATAAATTTACAAGTAATTTTGTGACCTAACCCCATAATACTTTATTGAAAAGTTTTGTGTATCAAAAGAAAGTCCCTCTGGAGCATAAAAATAACTCACTGATTATTGAACAGAATCATCAGAATTACAGTGATATTTTAAAGAAAAAAGACATCTTTAAAAGTTCCTATCACATGGATGGCCATGAACCACTGAGAGTGAAATTCAGGGTTTTGGAATATGTTTCCCAGAAAATGGTCTTCAATTTCATTACAGCATCTATCAGTTTTGTTGTAGTCAGACTGAAAAGATGTTTTTTCCTACCTTTTCACCTTCTTATTTGAGGTCCTTTTCCCAATTGTTTGGTCCTGGTGAGCCCAACCTTCCATAATTCAATAATTGCTGTCTAAAAAATGCCTTTAGAATATGTACAAGTTTTTTCTGTTAGTAGCTCTTGAAAACAATGTCCTCATATTTGGAAATATTACCACAGTCCCAGAAGTTTAACAAAGCTAATGAAACACAGGGAAAACCAGGTCTGATTAATACAGAAAATGATGGTCAGAAAATGTGGAGCATTTACTGGGCTTGATGATGAACTCCTGCAGGTCTTATCTGGTAATTTCCTATTCTAAATATGTTATTATTCTCAAGCATGTGTTTTTTGCAATCATGTCTTAAGATGACATGTTACTGCAATTAAGCCTCAGCTTCTGATGACTGGTTGCAGCTACCTGGTATATCTGAGACAGAGATAGTAGGTAACAATACACTGTATCCAAACAAAGTTATTTGATCTTTCTTTTGAGGAAATATTGTTAGCACACACAGAAATATTTTCTGGCAAATTGCTGCTTATAAAGAGTATGCATAACTCAAAAGAGACACACTTTGCACCAAAAAGTATCTTAGAGTGAAAAAAAGTGTCTTAGTACTAAATAGAATATTACCCCTTAATATAAAGGAAATATATACCTAGTATTTGAGTGCACATGGTTTCTTGAGGGAAATATTTATGTTGACTGAGGACGTGAGTTAACTTCAGAAGAGCAGAGCTATCCCATGGGCTGGCCCAACAGCCCATCTAATCTGGAATTCTTTTCCAACAGGGGCTGGTACCAGATGTTTAGAGAAGAGTGTAAGAGCTAAGCAGTACACAATACTTTCCACATTCCAGATATATTGTTCATGGACTTCCTGAGCTGGTGACTATTTTCAGACCATCTGCTTGCTGCACCCACTCTCCATGAATTAGTCTAGGGCTTTTAAATGCATTAGTGCCTTTCGTCTGTGCTTCCACAGCATCCTGTGGTAATGAGTTTCACAGTTTTATTATGCATGATGTGAAAAAGTTCTGTTGATGGAAAAAGGTATTTCCAGAGGGTGATTCATCCTTCCTGACTTAGCAGAGGATTAATTACCCTTTGAAGAGTCTCATCTTTCTGCATTGACATTAGAGCTTTAGTCAATTACTTCACACTAGACACGTACCTTTTGGATAAGTACAGATAGGGGAGAGTTATCCCAATTTTAGGATCAGTTTAATTAAATGCAATAACCTCTTTCAGTTAAACACTCTCAGCATAATATTTTTTCTGTAGATTATGATGATAGGAAATATCATAAAGTTTTCCACAAAGATGTACTTGAATGAAAAATTGCTGCCTACCTTTGTAAGCCTGATGGCAAGGCTTTTCCTCTGCCAGTTTAAACTAATTAACTTCATGTGTAGATGAGGCCTAAAGGATCATTATAAGAAGAGGAACATTAGGTTTCATTATTTATCTCTTTTTATTGAAAGGCTTTGGCTAACACGTGTATGGTTAAATTATATGAACTATGTCTTGAAACAGATGAGCAAGTTCTTGCTGTTCTATCAGTCAGTGGTTACTAAGCAAATAATTTTTTAGAGAGAGAGACCCTCACTAGAATTTGGGAAGTGAGCCATATATCGTATATCAAGTAGATTAACACAGGGGATGTTTTCCACATCCAAAAGATGAAAGTTTCTACTCTGGGAGATGACAATGCACACAACACTGATCATGTAGATATAAGGTTTTTAAACAAAGTAAGATTTAATGCTTTCTATTCACCTATTACCTCAGCAGAATAATTAAATCATGTAAAACTTATTTTTAATAGCCCATGGCATAGAATGAAGAAATTATTTTATAATGAATATGTGTTTTAAACACTTGGGATAAGAAATCAAAATAAAATATGCATTTACACAATATTCTGAAACCTTTATAGCTCAGAAATAGTTCTTATTTGGCAAAAGCACAGACAACTACTTGGCATTAACTAAGTTAGCTCCTGTAATTATAATCAAGGGAAATCACCTCACTGGTACTCAATTTCTAACAATAAACTTCATAAAGCTTGTTAATGAAACTCACCATTTCAATCTTGTTTTTTGGAAAATAGTTATTTTCCCAAAGAAATTATAAAGTTGTAGGGAAAAAACCCCAAACCAAATCAAACACACTTTTTATGTATACTTGACTCACTCCCTTAGATTTCTGAAGAAGTGTTATAGAAACAGTGGCATTTTGCAGCCAGACCCACAGCAGGATGGAATAAATGGTTAGGTCTTTAGTGCAAGCACTGGGAGAGTTGGATTTCTTGCTCAGTGGCAGTTGTCTGGTGTCTTTGTTCAACTGAATGGTGAATGGTGCAGTCCAGATATGCCTAAATCCTTTGCCAACTGTGATGGCCACTAGAAGCAGTAGGGCTGTCCTAGCAGTATGCCACAGCACATTGCTAGGACAGATTACTGGTGGAACAGATGGATCCAGTAACAGTTTTGCATGACCTCTGGAGGAGGGTGAAACTGCACCTGGAAGTTAGTGTCTGGATGATTACACTTATTAACTTTTTGCATATGAGAGAAGCAAGACAGTAAGAATGTGTTTTGAAGTGGATATTGGCTTAATAAAAATGTTAGAGTGTTTAAGGATTTTTACCTAAAAGTATCTGAGAAAGGCTGCATGGGAGATAAATATAGATCTGCAAAGCTATGCCAAGATGGAGCCATTTCCAAGCAGAAACTTAATGGAAATTTATCTAGTGGAAACCTCACTTGCTTAAACCTTAGACAGTCTCTGAAGTTAGGCGGTAACTGAAGTGGATTTAATTTCAGTTTCAGTCATGATCCCATGTTTCTCTGTGGCTTTAGCATTTATCAAAAAGCCTTTAGGATTTTTATATTTCTTGTAAACATGGGACAGTGGTAGTTCCCTGACACACAATGATGCTTTAAAATAATGATAGTTTTAAAAATGCTGTGAAAATGACAGGCACTGCTGTAAGCTAGTTATAGAGAATTCATTCTGAAATGGTGTAAGTATTTGCTTCTGCACTGCCTAACTATCATGATTTCCTATTTTCTTTTCCAGTTGACGAGGTTAACTTATTTTTTAGAGGCTGGACTTTCTGAGAGTTGATGCACAGGGTCTTGGCATTCACTGTACTGACATGCCTCATGGAAGTCAGTAATAGTTATTTAATGGAAAGAGGAGTGTTCCATGAATCCCCAATGAACACTATTTTGTGTTTGCATAGAATGTTCTTGAGACAACTCTGTACAATTGTGCTTCTGAATGCAGCAATATAAATCCAAATTTCATTGTGTAAATAAAGTATTTACCTATTAAAACAATGTTATTCAGAAAACTGCTGTTATAAACTATGATTTCCAGCACATCTGAATGAACTACTCTATAGGAAAACCTTTGCTGAATTTTTATATCTTTCATGCTTCTTGTAAGCACAGTACATTCCGTACATTTGCAGATATTTCTGCAGTTTGAGAATGGTGTTTGCCATCTACTTTTTCTGTACTGCTTAATTATTGATAGTTTTGATTAAAAATTCTGGCTGTGTATTCTAGTGTGTATGCACTGTGTGACAGATAGGGAAATGTACATCTGAGAAATGGTGGATGCATATTTTTGTTGCCTGTTCCATTTTTAATTTTGGAATGAAAGTCAACAACGTTCTGAGCTGTATCAGCAGGTAAATAGTCAGATCAAGGAAAATGATCATCACTCAGCGCTCATTAGAAAACACACAGAGTTTTGGGTCCAGTCCTAGGTCTGTTTGTACAAGAAATTGGTTGAACTTGTATGATGGTCACCAAAATGATGATTGCAGCACTTGCCCTGTGAGGAAAGGCTGAGGTTGTGGGTCTTGTTCAGCTTAATGAAGAGGTGGTTTTGGAGAAACCTAATGGAAGCCTGGTCATACCTGGAGAAAACAATGCAGAAGGGAAATAAATAGATAGTTGTTGGAATGGTAGGGAAGAATTTCAATGTCAGATCAGGTCCTGATAGGTCTCAGGCCTGGGAGGCAGGGGACAGTGTATGCATCTTTGCAGACTGAACTGTGTCTAATTTTTGTTGTGGTTGCTTCCGAAGTCAGTGACTGTGATGTCTTGGGGTGAAGATTGATAAGGCACAACTTCAGGAAACTTCTGTGAATGTCTCACAGTGCTGATGTACAACTGGATGTGCCAAACATTTCCCAGTCAAATTCTGTACTGGAAGAAATTCCACTGAAGAAGTTCCACTGAAGAAATTCCAATGAAGTTTGACCAGCAGGTGGTTTGGTATTTCACAAGGGTGCTTGCTGGCTAGAGTGTTTGTAGAAGTGAAAAGAAAGGAGCTGAAGGTAAGAGTCGTTGTCAGTGCTTGGATGTGCTGTGTGGTGTATGGTCAAGTTCTGGGGAGCACTAAATGCATTCAGCCAGGCCCAAAAATGCCAGGATCTCATTGACTTCTGATTATATTGTCTGAATTTATAGTGATGTATGTGCATGCCAGATGTTTGTGCATGCCAGACATGCATAAACCATATTTGTCTTGCTCTATCAGTATGCTGGTGACGATTCTCCCTGCCCATTAATATTGATATATTCAGCTATTGACAAAATGCTCTAAGCAGCCTGTGGGAAAAGGATTGTCTTCCAGGCCTTTGGGGTGGGTGTCATAGTTTGAGACTGAAGTGGCAGCAGACTAAAGTGGCTTGAATACCCAAAACACTTTTAGTCACAGGTGAAACATCTGCCCTGTGGGGAAAGGCACAGAGAGTTAGGGTTTTTCAGCTTGTAGCAGAGAAAGCTTCAGGAAGACTTAATTCCAGTCTTTTAATACTTAAAAGAAAGATGGAGATAGACATTTTATCCTTTTGTGGTAGGGTATGGGGTACTGGTTTTAAGGTAGATTCAGACTAGATAGAAGGAAGAAGCTTTTTAAAATGGGAGTGGCAAAACACTAGAACCGATTGCTCAGAGCTGTGACCACCCCATCCCTGGAAATACTCAAGGACAGGTTGAATGGGGCACCAACCCAGTGAAGGTGTTCCTGCCCACAGAAGGGGGATGGGAGCTAGATGATGTTAAAGGTTCCCTTCCAACCCAACCTATTCTATGGTATATTTGGTGTTAGTGTGTGACATGGCATTGTCCTCCCACAGGAGACATTGTGGTGCAGTACCAGACTCGGGAGGGGCAGGAAACACTTCTCCAGGAGACTTCAGACCATGGCTCAGGGAGTCTCTGCTCACTTCTGTCAGTTATGGGATTGGGGAGGGAGGGATATCTTCCATTCTGATTTGCTCAGGTCTTACAGCTCCTGGCTGTTTCCTCCTGGGTCTCAGGGCTCACCCTTCTCAAAGGTTCTCCCCACACAGCTGCAAACAGCTTTGTTACAGGGTGAGATAGGACGGCCCAAGCTGAGCAGCCCCAACTGCACACTCAGCTACCACTAAAACTTCCTGGTTTTTTGGATCTGATCCTCCAATGAGAAATTAAATTCTGAGCATAGGGAGCAGTAAATAAGAACATTTAGGTGTCACATACATAATAATGACCCACAAAACTGTGATGCCAGATCTTTTCAGAGTGGCCTTAAGGCTCAGCTCTTCAAGAGCAGCAAAAGGTCTTTCTGCTTTCTTTTCTGTATATCCATCTATCAGTTCTCCCTGAGTCTCTCCTCCTTCCTCAATGCCAAGCTGCTTTGGATAATTTGTCCCAATTAATTAGATCCCAGAGCTGTTTTCAAAAGCCTGTACCATTCAATCCCCATGCTGCTGACTACCTATTAAATGACATAATTTAGGATCCTATAAGGGAAATCAAGCATTTATCTTACTTTTTGTCTATTACCATAGCAGACCAAAGACCTGATATTTACATGGAAGCCATCTGAAATGCTAATGCAAATAATTAACTCCAGTCTGCAGACTCTATTCAAATTGCTCACTGAACCCCACACCGATTCAAGAAATGAAACTGGAAGCTTTTTTTTTTTAATTAATCTTTTTTTAGTACTGAGTAAAACTGTGATTTACTCTTTTGTCTGTATTTCCCTTAATTTGAAGTATAACTAAAGGAGGTCTGTAATTGCCAATCCTTTTCTATAACACCAAACTTTTTTGCTGTTTTTTTTCTGTAATTCTTTAGGAGACTACATAACTTTTAACAAGGTTCCCCAACCTCCTTTTTATGCCCAGTAACACCAGCTGCCTTCTCGTGTCTCTAATGAATGTATCTTCCTCGTCTCACTCCACCACCTCATCACTTTCATTGTGTTCCCCTTCTTTGACAGGTGGTCTTGTGGGTATAACGACATCATTAAATAGCTCTAAAGCTGCTAGTAAGGAAATAGTTATTGAGTGAATCAGAATACCTTCACTGCTGTAGCTAAAGGAGCAACTTGCAGTGTTTGCTAAATTTAACTGTTTCTCCTCTGCTTGATCTCATCCATCAGGTTCATAAATCAGGAGAGACTTTCATTTCCTATATAAAGAGATTTAGGTCTATCTGAAATATTTGGGGCTGCCCTTACCCCCCTCCTCCTTCCATTGATCTATACCCCCTGCCCCGCTGCCATGGGTAACAGAAGGTTTCCAGGTAACCACATCTTGGATAAACACAAGTAGGGCATGCACAGTACCCTGGAACACCTACTGTGGCATTATGAGCCTATGTTCATGTGACTAAGTCCAGCAGTGAAAATGAAAACCCAGGTCATAATTCAGTCATCCTTCAGGAATCCATCAGGAGAAAGAGGAGGAAAAATGAAGCCCCATCCAAGGAGCACAAAAGTCTGTACAGACTAAGGTATTTATTTCTCTGCAGGACTCTGAAGTGCGCTTGCACAAAGCATACAAAGGATTCTCCCGGACTGGTTTTTTTTTCAGTGCGCAGATTTAGTTTGGGAGAGAGAAAATGAATCTTAAGGTGCTTGGTTAAAGGAGAGGTCAGGAATACTTCAACCTGGAATATTATTTAAGCATGCTCTATTTAATTGAAAAATTTTAATGGTAGTGAATAAAGGGCAAAAAGGGACCAGTGATGTGGGACCTTTATTAGTGAAAAAAAAATCCCTGATGCAGCGTTTGTTTAAGATGAGCCCTGATACTCAAAAAAGAGACAGAATAAACCTTTTGCACTAATTTGAAAGCCTGATTAACTGCTCTTAACAATGATTGTGACCTGAAAGGCCAAGCCCAAGTATGCAGAGGGCACAGTCCCATCCTTTTCTCCCATTTCCTAATGGGAGAAGTACTGCTCTCATCTCTGCTACCTGAGGAAGTGTCAAATTAGAAGTCCACCACAGGAAACAAAATTGCCACCACACCTGATCCCTGGGTGAAGACTGGCCTGCTTAGATTAGAGTTTTGTTCAATTTGTAGTCAAACAGCAGTAGACAGGCCACTGACATCCTGAGGTTTTGCTGTGGATGTTACTGCTGGGCATGATCCACCAGTGGTTGCTGAATAATGTTTGACATTTCCATTTTGCAGTTCACAGAACTATGACACCTCGTGTCAATGCAAATAAACCTGTGACAGTCTGATACTGTATTTGAGGCAGTAGATTGAAAATTGATTGTGTGACTTATCTGAATATAAATCGCGTATTTATTTACCCCAAACCATGGACTTGCAATTAGTCTATACATATTCATAAAATATAGGTTAGGTAAATTAACACTTTCCTATTGTAAATTACAACTGAGAATAATTTGCGGTGGCCAGAAAGTCGAAAATGCAGTTAATTTTGAAATGGATTTGATGCATGGCATTATTTAACCATTCCCTGAATAATTTCAAGCCATGAATTTAGTTACAACATGAAGTATTGCTGACATGCTGAAGAAATTTGCCTAGAAAAGTAGCTGTTCTCTTCCATATATTGATGCTTTTTTGTATGTATGTTTTAATTGACCAGTTCTGGAATAAAGTTATTCCATTTTGCCCCATCCAATCAACCTTACATTTTTGTTACGGTGAGATCTATGCCCTCCATAAATTTCTGATATCTTTATCCATGGTACTTGGCTTCTTCCCTTATGAGTTAGAGTGTAATATATTATGCATAATCTAGGTTAATGTTGGCTTGCATTTCTCCCACCAGGATAAGTTATACTTTCCTATTCTGTTGAATAATAGTTTTGAAATGTAAGGAAGTGGTGGCTTCTGGGAGAAAGGACTTCACACTTTGGCTACAGACTGCATGGAAGGTATTTGAAGCCCCACTCTGCCTGCTTTAAATCTGCACCTGAACCTGCCTCTTGGCTGAATGCCTTGTCCCTGGACTGGACATAAATGTGACCAATACATGGTCTCCAAAAATAGTCAGTAGGTCTTGCCAGTGGAGGAGTGTAGAAACTGGGTACATTGCAAGGCTCTCTTTTCAGTGCATGTCCCAGTTTTCAGTAATATGCAGTGAAGGTGCTTCCTTAGCTAGTAGTGTTTTCCTCTGTGTTTATAGTTTTACTGGCTTTTTGTCCTATTTTAGGATGTTTCCACCATTCTTTTTCCCTGATATTTACTGTAAATTAAATCTCAGCCCTGAGCGGCCTTTTAGAAATTTCGACTGAGTCCCTGTTTTTTTGGTGAAGTGCTTCTGTGTTTGCAAATTGGAATTTCTGAGGGAGAATCTGCTGCTGCAAAACCCCAAAGACCAGCTCCAGTACAGAAAACATAGAGTACATGTGGAAATGGGATATGGGTCAATGTGGATTTCTCAGTGGATAGTGTGTCAGAGGCAAGGGCCAAACTTCAGAAATTACATTCCACTGCCAAAAAAATTATGGTATGATAATGATGTTCTACAGCCTTTTTCTAAATAATGTATTGCTCTTCAAGCAGGTACTTAGGTGTTGAAGTCAACACAGGTGAGTGAGGTGGCATTGAGCCTAGATAAAGGTTCAGTTCAACCATTAGAAGTATGAGGAGAGAACAGGATAAGGCTGACTGTAATGTTTACAACCAAACCATGGAATTGCAGTTTCTTGTGGTGAACATTAATAGATGTGTGATATGGTTTGTCCTTCTGGGGATGCAGAAGTATGGAATTTTAAAGCAGGTTCATGCCAAGCAGGAATCTTCTACTTTCTTGGCCTACACTGAGCAAACAGTGTCCAGCATAGGGTGAGTTATTTCCTCTTTTCTTCTCTGAACCAGCTTCTTTTCAAATAAAGGGGAGAAAAGTAAAATGCTTTTGTGATTATATCTCTCTCAACCACATAATAGTTATTCTATAGAAAGCTTGAAGAATATGGAATTACTCTTCGCTCAGGGGTTATAATGTCTATCTTATCTCTTAGGTAATATGGAAAGTTTTATTATTTTATGAATAATGAGTATTCATCTATTTGTAATAGCAAATAAGGGAGTGTAAGGTGATTAACTTCTGGTATTCCTGAGTTGTTGATGTTTTCATCAATACTTACTTCTTTGAAGGTGCCTGGGTTTCAAACAAGTCCATGTTCAGATATTTAAATATCCACTTGCTTTAGAGGGAACCTAAAAGATCTACAACTTCCTTTCTGCTCCTAGGGACATGTAGGCATACATGTTTTTCCACCTCTATGGTGTTTAAAGTATGTTCCCAGGATGCTGATGCTCATGGGGAAATACTGCTGGAAATCACTCATATGGCATGTTGCCCAGCCAGTGTTGTACAGATGTGTAAGGAGGAGTGTTCCAGGGCTACTGAAAGGTGCCTTTTGCTATCCTGTGTAGAGGGTAAGACTTGCTTTTACTGGCTCGCTTGGACAGTATGGGACTGTTTCCTTTGTGAGTGGGATGATAAAGGTACTCAGCAGAGGTAGCTGAATGAAGCCAAGTGGGATGATTCTCTCATTGTCTCATTGCCTCATCTGTCACTGCTCTCTTGGTGTTTTCTCTTTGTTCTTCCTTTCCTGGACATTTTCAGAAAACATTTCTGAAGATTTCGTCCCTTCTCATCTTTATTAACTATGATGTCAAGTCCTGCCTGGGGTCAAGGAGCAGTGGTGTGACAAAAAGACAGGCTGGAAGCCTGGGATCACTGTGGGAGCTTTGGTGTGGAAGCATCACTCACTTCCATATTGTAGAAATCTCTCCACCAAGGACTTCCTTTGACTCAAAATAAAATGTACCCGATTCTGGTAGTTGAATGTTGTATTTAATTTCATTCTTCTGATTGACATCAATTCTTGAAATAAAATTATCTTGAAACAAAATGCCATAAGGTTACATTTATGAATCAGGAAACCACATTCTAAACAAAGAAATCACACTGTTTTAAAAAGTGTTACAGAAATAAAGTTCATGTTTTCTGGAGTAAGGATTTTAAATTGTTTAATGCCTAGGAAACTGAGTTTTAAAAAATGAGTTTACTGTTTTTTGAAAAATACTGGTAGGAAAACTGTCTCTCTCATGAAATGAAAGTAATGCTGCTCCTCCTCAAAGTGAGCTGTATTCTATATACTGAAAGTAATGGTATTTTCTTTAGCTTGTAAATTACACCATATAAAATAGGCAGAACATTCCTAGTTAAAGAAGTAATGCCATCTGTAGAGAGCAGTGCAAAATGGGGGTCAGCATTTTAGGTGCCAAAGAATAATACATTTCCACTCCCCTCCCCTGTCTCTCTTTCTCCCTCTCTCTGTATTTGAAGACCAATGTGTCTAGTGTTCCCCTTTACAACATGAGACATGAGTTTTTAGCTCTTTTCCCAGGGAGCCAAGAATTCATAGGCTTTTATGTTTTGCAGCTCTGGCAGAGGTTCAGGTTAAAACACACATAAAGCACAGGTCAGCCACCAAATAGACAGCTGTAGCTGTAACTCTAGAGTGCATTTTGTCTTCAAGATGCATCTAATATCAGTGATTGAGTTTGTGTCAGTAGGGAGCTTTTGAAGAAAACCACCTGTGCATCCCCTTTACTGTACTTTCATTCACACAGCAGAGTAGACTGGAAGTGCACAAATTGGATTTCTTTGGCATGAAAGTGACCACAAGATGTGCTCCAGGATTGCCTCAAATGCACTCCAACTGTTAATGGACCTTAAGTTCACAGGAGCAAATTAGAGCTAGGCTGATATAAGTCTCCCTGACAACTGGTGTGTGAGAGATGGTCCTTACCAACAGCTGTGTCTCTTCAGATATCTATCCTTGGATAGATATCTGAAAAAAAAAGTCACTTATGTAGACTTTTTTTTTTCTTGTGCAGGAGGAGGAAATAGGTGGACTAATAGGTTATTTTGCTGTTCACTTTTTCACATGTGCCCAGTGATCTGGCAGTCTGGTTCTTATGACAATCTGGCTCTTCCTCCTCAGCTTCCATCTCCTGTTGCGGTCCTTAGGCAGCTCCCTGCACGGAGCTGGCTTGAGTGATAGCTCAGTTTTATAATTCTATCAGGCAAATAGACAAAGCAGCTGTGACCACATCTGAATGAGGCATAGATGAGGGAGAGCAGATAATGCTCAAGTGATGGATGATGGCTTGGGAACACAGATCTGACTCCCTTAGGGAGAGGCTTGAGGTGCTCATCCAATTTCATAACTGATTTCTGTCCTTGCCTGGGGGCGGATAAATGCACACAAGGAAGAGAACAAAGCACTTGCAGATGGACATGAATTTTATTCACCACTAAAGCTTTGCCTTGATGGGGACTGGGCTGACTCTGCCTGGGGCTTTCTTTGGAGCCTGCTCATGCATTAGTGCAGAATTTCCCTGCTTCTGCAAAACCTCCACAAGAACCTTACCATAGGTTCACAGAGCTTTATATTCCAACACCTTTTATTTCTGCTTTTGACTGTAATTTGAGATGACATTGATCTATAC